CCTCCCCCTCTCTCCCTCTCCCCCTCTCCCTCTCTCCCCCTCTTTTGCCATGGTTTTTCCAAATTCTGCATCTAGAGCCAACAATTACCGCTGTTTCAAGATCATCACTTCGGTCAGCAAGTTCACTCAGCCGCTCTTCTCTTTCCAGGACCTTTTCAATGTTCTGAGTCATAACGGTTTTCACGTCATCCACTTGGACTTGAAGTGTAGAAATTGCGATATCGTTGGATTTAGCCATCTGCCCAGGATAACGGTTTATTAGATTTGATACAGGTCATGCCAGCCTGTCTTAAGATACTAAGTTAAGATGCCTCTTGCTGTTTCATGAAACATGTGCTGTGGAATCATATGTATACTATTTTAATATTTAAATGATGAATTGCTTATCTGCAAGACCGGTCTTATGATAAGCAGCACAAGGAAACAAGCTCATCACTGGCCATCGACACCAATCAACCAGTAGGAAGGCACCACCTAAGCACAACTCCTAGAATAGCCCAAAGCACATATTCCAGTAGAGAAAAGGCTCCAGCACAAGTCTGAAAGCTCAGGAGAGTAAAACCTCTGATCCCGGTGACAAACCCAGATTGGATCTTGCAACGTTATCCTGGGACATGCATATCTGCCTTCATTCGTGGTCTTATTCTGGTTTTCAGCCACAGCGAACACCCCATAGCTACAATTGCAAACCCAACAACCCAAAACAGAATGGAGAATCTGCTCTTGAAACTTGAAACGGGATTCTGTTACATAGACATTTATCAATGTTCTATGTATTTACTATCTTTTTAAATTTAAAATACCACCTTCCTAGAAAATATCTAGTGCAATTGACAAAATTCCATAGGCCTCCCTCTGGCAGCATAGACCAGGAGTGAAAAATATCTTTATATAGAATCACCAAGTAAAAAACCAGTGCTCTAAAATGACAAATCCATTTATTTATAGCATATGGATGGACATTAGGCCACTAGAATAATTATCCCTCTCCCTCCAAAAGCAAAGGCTCAGATTAACTCAAGTCCTGGTAACCCTTTTTTGGCTGTAATGAAAATCTCTCTGGGTTGCTTTTTGACCTCTTAATCTAGATTAGTGTTTCACGACCTTGGCAACTTTAAAATGGGTGGACTTCAACTCCCAGAATTCCCCAGCCAACAATTAAATGGTTGGGGAATTCAGTTGCAGTCCACATGTCTTAAATTTGCCAGGTTGTAGACAGATCATCTACTAAATTATTTTCTATTTAGTTAGAGTATATTGTGTTCTCAAATTAACTTCTTAGATTAGTAGTTTGGGGTACCAAAATCCTTTTTGCCATTCAATGACAGCATACAGATATAGCAAACTTTGCTGCTACTCATTTAGTTTTTTGCAAATGAGATCCAGTTGCCCTATTTAAAATCCATTTAAAACAAAATACTTTTAACATTTAAACAAACCTACCCTCTATTTTTCTAATATGCCTTGCCAATCAGCACTAAACAAAAAAAACTGTGAAAGCTCAGGGAGTTACTTCAATTGTCTTCCAAATCTGAAAAAAAAAACCTGAAAAAAAAAAGTTTAGTATGAATTTCAACAAGCATAACTGAAAGAGAGTTAAAATTTATACCTACAGTGTAATCTTACTTAATCTGGGAGAAAGAATTTGGTTTAAAAACAGCCATATTTACACAAATCTTAAATTACATTAAGATCATAAATGAAATAAAATGTAAGTAGCCGTGGGTCAATATTGCCAAGAATGCTTTTTGAAACACAACTGCTTTCTAACTGATAGCATTTGTATTATAAATCTGTTAATGTAAGAATGTAGCCAAGATAGTTCATGCTTCTATTTTTTAAAAATTTATTTACACCAACATTTGTATGTAGCCTACTCGAGAAATTGTAGGTTTACAGTAACACAGCTACCATGGTGGCTGTAGCAATGAGCTGTGGTGGTGCACTGGTTAGAATGCAGTATTGCAGGCTAACTCTGCCCACTACCAGCAGTTCGATTCTGACCATCCTTCCAAGGTTGGTAAAATGAGGACCCAGATCAATGGGGGCAATATGCTGAGTAAATATCTTAGAGAGGACTGTAAAAGTACTGTGGTATGGTGGCGGCACAGTGGTTAGAGTGCAGTACTACAGGCTACTTCTGCTGACTGCCGGCTGCCTGCAATTTGGCAGTTCGAATCTCACCAGGCTCAAAGTTGACTCAGCCTTCCATCCTTCTGTGGTATGTAAAATGGGGACCCAGATTGTTGGGGGCAATAGGCTGACTCTGTAAACTGCTTAGAGAGGGCTGTAAAGCACTGTGAAGTGGAATACAAGGCTAAGCGCTATGACTGTATAAGTATAAGTCTAAGTCTATTGTTATTGCTCTCATACACTTATCCAAGCACTACAGAGTTTGAAAAAAATACAATTCGCAATTCAAATAAACCCAAAACGAAATCTGTATCTAAAATGCAGCTCTGTAACAGTCAATGGCTTTCAAATGCATGATGGAATGTAATTGAAGGTCTGCCAATGAGAATGGCTGGGTTCATCTTCCCATCCAACTCATGGATTTGGGACCCTTGGCATCTCCTGATGGAAAGCACGATCTAGGAGAGATGATCCTGAAGGAATCTATGAGCCAAATCACGAGGAACTTATGCACGTGAATACCAGGATCCTATCGAAATGCTATTCAACTCAGTTTAAATGTGAGTGATTTTATCTGCAAACATTGTCACAATCCCCACATTGTCTCAATCCCCTGCAATAATGTCTTTTCTTCTGCTTTTTTTTTCCTGAAAGGGTGCAGGTAACCCTGAATGAAGTTAGTGGTTTAAATGCTTTTAAGATCCAATAAGAGCAAATTATGCTTCAACACACTTACTGCCACCGAATACTTCTGAACCTTAGTCCACATTTGCCCTTCGTTTTTACATTCCTGGCACTTCAAGGGACTCAATAGATTACCATTTTCTAGAACTCTTGCAATGTCATGTGGGAATGACCTTGAGGGATGAGGGGAAGAAATGCTGCCAAGGGAATGATCAGACAAGAGGAGAAGGACCCCACATTTGCTTAATGGTCAGAGAAAGAAACTTAGCTAGAATCCGCCCTAATTGATCAGGCTGTCAAAGGAGACAGCGGGGAATTTGTACTTTCAGATTTACAAGATTCTGTTGATGTGGCTTTACAATGAAGTAGAATTGGTTCACCTGGTTGTATTTGCTGAGGGCCGACATCTATCTTGCAAGTCTGAAAGCAACAAATCTCCCCTGTCTCTTTTTACAGCCTGATCAATTAGGGCAAGGCCCTGAATACAGTGCCCTAAAATGGATCGCCAACTCTCCTACTTTTTCTTAATGGGGAAAAAGGGCTCACTGTAACAGCATTGCCAAAAAGGCATTAAGAGTTGTTAACCTTATTTTGCGAAGCTTCTTCTCCGGTAACATTGAATTGCTGACTAGGGCGTACAAAACCTTTGCCAGACCAATTCTCGAATACAGCTCGTCCGCCTGGAACCTGCACTGTATATTGGACATTAACACGATTGAACGGGTTCAGAAGTATTTTTCAAGAAAAATACTCCTCTACTCACAATAGAATTCCCTGTGGCTCCAGGCTTGAAATTTTGGGCTTAGACAATCTGGAACTGCATCACCTGTGGTCCGATCTAAGCATAGTACACAGAATTGTCTGCTATAACATCTTGCCTGTCAACAACTTCTTCAGCTTCAACCACAATAATACACGGGCAAACAATCGATTCATACTCAAGGTAAACCGCTCCAAACTCAATTGCAGAAAATGCGACTTCAGCAACAGAGTGGTCAACCCCTGGAACGCCCTACTTGACTCTGTGGTTACATCCTCAAACCCTCACAGCTTCAACCTCAAACTGTCTACCGTGGACCTCACCACATTCTTAAGAGGTCCTTAAAGGGAGTGTGTATAAGTGCACCAGTGTGCCTGCTGTCCCTGTCTTACTATCCCCATTTATCTGTATTTACTTTCTTTATTCATGTTTATTAAGTTCCTACCTATACTTGTTATCTTGTACATGTTTAATAAATAAATAAACAAACAAACAAATGAATAAAAATAAATAAATAAAAGGCTGCCTCACTTGACTCTCTTCCCTATATAAATTATTTTCCTAAGCTTTTCCTCATTGACCCTAGAAGATTTATTTATTTATTTGTCAAATTTGTTTACTGCCCATCACACAGTTTGAGATGCTGCTTTGTAAAGGAAGAAGAGATGCTTGCTTGCTTATGAATAAAAAAAACCAAAATATTTAGTAGTATTTGTATATCCCATTGCAGTTTTTAAGTCTTAATTGAGTTGCACTTACTGGGTTGCTTCCAAGTTCCAAAGGGAGTCAATATTGGGGAGATGTTCATTCATTCACTCGTTCGTTCGTTCATTTGTTTATTCTGTCATGAACTTCAACAGACTTTCAGCGGCTTATCGCACATATATCACACCAAGTCCATAAAGGCAACAACTTATTACTAGAATAACGTGATACTGATCATGTGATAATTATTAGTCACCTTATAAAACTGTGTATAGGACTTTATACTTGACTGAGAGCTGGGTCTCCTTGCTGTGGAACATTTTGTCCTTTGACAAGATCAAAAAATATAAAAATATTTATGAGGATCAAGAAAGATAAAGAAACCAACACAGCCCAACAAACAAATATTAGAGATGAAAGAAAAGGAGAGAGAGAGAGAAAACAACCATAGGATGCAAATCGGTGGAAGTTAAAAGCAGTAGAAAATATTTCAGTGGTACTTCCTTCAGACAAATGGAGGAAGCAAAGATAATTATTGCAAATACCTGAAGTTGAACAATAAAGAGACGCTATCATGAATAACCAATTATTCCAACAACCGGCTTGTCATTAACAACATACGAAACAATGAAGAATTGAAAAACTTTGGTTCTATTGCTCTTTTTTTTTTCCTTCTTAAACCTTCCCAACTGATTTTAACTGCCATGGAACATCCTCCTCCTCAGTCCCATTTCAAAACAGTTTTATGCCACTGGGCCTTCAAAGTAATAATTTAACCCGTTTACACCATGATGTATGCCACCAAGTGGGAGGGGCGGTGGTAAGATTTGACATTGGGCGAACATTTATATCATAGGAAATATATAAATAAATAAAATCCCAAAGCCATCAATGATAACTAATTATTAAACCTCCGGGGCAAATCAAATAGGCCTTCAATTTATGTCAAAAAGATTCCTAGGTGGGGGGCTTTGGATGCCACCCCCCACTTCCTGGAAGATCAGAATGGAATAGGGCAGTGG